ATCCATCGCCAGATGAAGGTTCTATGATAATATGCAAGATATTCATCAGTGTGGCTAGAGCAGGAAAATATATATCTTAATTAAGGGAGCCATTTTAGGGTTGGCAAGAGACTGGACTCTAGTGGGGTTCCCAGGTGTCCAAGGAGATGTCCCCAGCTTGTTCCTTGAGCAGCCGAGAAGAGGGCGCCTGAATTGAAGACCTTTCTTTATCTGGACACAGAAAATGTGGGTTTCTGTGCTGTGCTCTGCTCACCAAGGGAAGCATGCAAGCCTTCTGCTCTGAACCCTCTGGAATTCCCACATGTAGCTCCCTCCCTGGGCCTGGCCTTCAGCATCTCAAAGCTGCTTTCAAGGGCTCAGAAGCACTTTGTTTCCTATCTGTTTCCTGACCCTTGCACTGGTTAGGGACAGTGCTCACCCTCTGGCTAAGAGTTCCTCCAGAGTCTTGTGTTTTAGGCTTGTCTTATCTCCTGAAGACCAATGGGCCAGAAGTCTGAGTTACAGTTTTGTAGTGTTCTCTTGGTCATTAGGCAGTGTCTGCTTCTGACTGAACATGGAGGTCATGAGAGAACACAGACATTTGGTGGAGAATAATGCAGGGTTAATCTCTCGAATATGTTATCTGTCTGTCTCATTTTTGGAAACAGTGGACTGATTTCAAGGGAAACAAATTGCTGACAGTTATCCCAAATTTCAAAAATCCTTTTACAAAGTTTGTCAGTTTACTACAAACTCTAGAAAGCAGCATGCCACTCAGGCGGGAGAAGAGGCCGTTTGCAAAAATGAGATGGGTCTCCAGGGACAGCTCTCTTCTCTGATGTCACAGAGTTCCTCCCAAACAGTCAGGGCATTGATAAAATAAGTATCTGTCGTGTTATTTAGGAAGGGATGGCAGGCTGAGAGCTACTGAGCAAGTGATAAGCTGCCCTTGACTTGGCAAACTTCCACGCGTCTTCAGTGGATATGGTTCTCACATTGATCTGCCATGAAAGTTCCCTCTGTTGACCCAGTGACACAGTTCTAGGCAAGGAAGGAAGAATGTGTTTGTGTCCCCTAGTGATGATGTGGTATATACCACCTGTCATAATAGTCCCAGCTTCATCTGCTAAGCTAGGGGCAAATACAGTCTTATGCTTTGTCATTGGGTGGTCAGGCAGGGCCTGGGTAAAATCCCATGGAAAATCCCAAGTAGTTAGTGCTTGCCTGAAAATTAAGTGTGTTCAGTCTTTTTATAGTACATGTTCCTTTGCAGTAAGAGAACACTGCAAGTCTGTGTAAGGCTTTTATATTGGCATGCTTAACCACTGTGACTTTTACCGCTGCATACCAGCTGGGGCATGCAGATTACTGAAAGCACTATGAAGATGTCTTTAAATGGCCTGCTGCTGCTGTATACCCTTCAGAAGCTAGAGAAGAAAATGTGTCTTTATATGTCATTTTTGTTTCTTTGGGGCATATTAGCGGTCTGAGCCACCACTTCTAAAAACAGGACTATCCCCACTCTCTGAAAAAGTCTTAATATAAGAGTTTTTTTTTTTTAAATACAATGTTAGTTACCCACCATGCATTTCTGCAGATTCTACTTCATTATCAAGGAAGGGGTCTAATAGTTTCTTTAGCATCTAATGAAACTAGGGAAGAGAAGCAAATGTATAAATGATTTTTAAAATTACAATACACAGAAAGACTCCTGTAAAATGGAGGAGGAGGCCAAAGCCTGCACATCTCTTGGAGAGGGCCCACCCCTGCCACAGTCCATGTGTTCTTTGTGTGAACTGACAGTTCTTTCTTGGTTTTCTTTGGAAATGGGATGAGTTTAAAATTAATAGACTATGGAAAGCCTTTAAACTGAACATGCTAACATGCTTGCATTTAAGAAAATTGTATTCTCAGTGATGTTCATCTCAGCATTGAAGCGTTTTCTTTCTTTTGGAGAAGAAAAATATGACTTTTTTTTATTGGTCCAGCAGAAAAGTCAAATGTTAATCCTCTAACACCAGAGGTCATTTTTCAAGTTTTCATATTTACATTCTCAACTCGCAGGACAAAGTTTCTGACTTAGAATTTTATTTCTTGTGTGTGTGTACATCAGTGCAGGTGTGTAAGGAGGCCATAGGTTGAACAAGACATGTCTTGTTCAATCACTTCTCTACCTTCCTTTCTGAGATATGGAATTCACTGATTGGCTAGACTGACTGACTAGCAAGCCCATGGATCCCTTTGTCTGCCACACTCAGATTATACCTGATATTTGGGGGTCCAAACTCAGGTCCTCATGCTTGTGCAGCTGATGCTGAAGCATCTCCCTGCCCCCTTCATTTATAATGCCACTGAAAACATAACCCACAGAGTGTCACTCAGCTGTACACACTAGGGTACTGACTGCAATCGCAAACCTTCTGACCCCAGGTCTGGCTGAGTATTAAGGTCTAGCGTTGCCCAAGACAATTGCTGTTCTTTTACAGTAATACAGCTGGAAGGAAAGGCTTGTCCAAGTGAATGAAAAGCTTGGAGCACTCCTCAGAGACTGGGAAGAGCCCTCTTATTCGGTGTAATCGAAGCTGGTATTTGCCTGGGTAGAAGAGACAATTAGTAAATTGGAACGACATCCATTGGAAGAAAAATTTATTATGTATTGCCAAAATCTGAAATCCTTTGGTTAGTTTCTCTTTCATTTTTTTTTTTCATAGAGCACACCCATGTATATCTAGTCTTCCAGGTTTATCTTTTACTGGCTAGACTGAGAACTTAGAAATCTGAGTTCAGACAATAGTTTTACAAGTTTGCTCCATTAGGAACTGACCTAAGGTTGGGTGTGGTGGCACGCACCTTTAATCCCAGCACTTGGGAGTCAGTGACAGATCTCTGTGAGTTCAAGGCCAGCCCGGTCTACAGAGTGAGTTCCAGGACAGTCAAGACTGTTACACAGAGAAACACTGTACTGAAAAACAAACAAAACAAAACAAACAAACAAACAAAGAACTGGCCTGTCAATGACATGAAAGTATGATTTTTTCCATTTGTCACTGTCAGACGTTTTTGGTAAGCCTTTGATTTATTTTTTCCTAGCAAGGGTATTCATTTTCCATCAGTTTATATTATATGTAAATTCATAATATTGAGCACAGTGGCAGAAATGGACCTGGAATGAGACCCAGGGATTTGGATAAGCATCTCCCAATCAGAGGGAAGACAGAAGTTCATGGGCATGCCAGACTACCAGCTTCGGGCACTCCATATGGCAAGGACAGAGTGAACACCTGCTCGACATGACTGGGGTCTGCCGGATAGTCTATGAGTCAGTTACAGTCTTTAATTAAGCATTTCTACTAATATGCCCAAGAAGTAACTCTTAACAGTTTTTGCAAAGTGTTTTCTAGCAGGAGTTCTACAGAACAGCCTTAATGAGCAGCCAGGCTCCCTGGCAATCAGCAGCATCTGTCTGCACAGTGTAATTGGCATGCTAAAACACTGCCCCTGGGCGAGCTAGTGTACAGTGTATAATTGCTTGGCTCATCAGACTATTTTCTTTTCTTGGATAGGGAAAGGTAGTGTTTTGGTCCACTCTTCATGGTGCTATCACAAATTTTTAAATTAATGATTTGGAGATTTAATGAAATCTTCCATTTATCCAGGATAGAAATTCTTTTTTTAAAATTTTTTTTATTGAGCTCTACATTTTTCTCTGCTCCTCTCCCTGCCTCTCCCCTCCCCTTCAACCCTCTCCCAAGGTCCCCATGCTCCCAATTTACTCAGGAGACCTTGTCCTTTTCTACTTCCCATGTAGATTAGATCCATGTATGTCTCTTTTAGAGTCCTCATTGCTGTCTAGGTTCTCTGGGATTGTGATTTGTAGGCTGGTTTTCTTTGCTTTATGTTTAAAAACCATTTATGAGTGAGTAAATATGATAATTGTCTTTCTGGGTCTGGGTTACCTCACTCAAAATGATATTTTTTAGCTCCATCCATTTTCCTGCAAAATTCAAGATATCGTTAATTTTTTCTGCTGTGTAGTACTCCATTGTGTAAATGTACCACATTTCCTAATCCATTCTTCAGTCAAGGGGCATTTAGGGTGTTTCCAGGGTCTGGCTATGACAAACAAAGCTGCTATGAACATCATTGAACACACATACTTGTGGCACGATTGAGCATCCTTTGGCTACTTACTCAAAACTGTATTGCTGGGTCTTGAGGAAGGTTGTTTACTAATTTTCTGAGAAATTTCTACACTGATATCCAAAGGGGCTGTACCAGCTTGCACTACCACTAGCAATGCAGGAGTGTTCCCTTTACCCTACATCCTCTCCCAGGATAGAAATTCTTACTATCTCTATCAGTGTTTTCAGTTAAAACTTTGTCTTCTTAAATCCTGCTAGCAATAAAACATGGTGCACCAAGGACAGTTAGGTTAGAATAAATAAATATCACACATTCTGACTGACATTCACTTGTAAAGGGTATAGGTGTGGAAGTCAGAGACTTCGGGACACCATGGTACTGACCAGGATAGGAAGCAGGCCTAGGGCATCAGCATCCTAGCAGACAGAACTAGACATTTGAGCAGCCGATCACCTGGCCACAATGAGGGGGCTCTGTACTATTTGCTCAGATGTGTTAAATGTACTTCTCAACTCTTAATGTCTTTCTTCACTTTTCTCTGTTCTTTCTTTTTTTTTTAAGTTTGTAAGATGTATTTATTTATTTATTTATTAAGGATTTCTGCCTCCTCCCCGCAACCGCTTCCCATTTCCCTCCTCCTCCCCCCATCAAGTCCCCCTCCCTCATCTGCTCGAAGAGCAATCAGGGTTCCCTGACCTGTGGGAAGCCCAAGGACCGCCCACCTCTATCCAGGTCTCATAAGGTGAGCATCCAAACTGCCTAGGCTCCCCCAAAGCCAGTACGTGCAGTAGGATCAAAAACCCACTGCGATTGTTCTTGAGTTCTCAGTATTCCTCATTGTCCGCTTTCTTTCTTTTTATTTCTGTTTTTGACTGCAGAAAGGTACTCAAGGAAATCTCTGTTGGAGAATTAAACCCAAATGAAACTGTTCAGGCCAGTGTGGAAGCCCAGCTCCTTTCCAAGCTAAATCATCCAGCCATTGTCAAGTTCCATGCAAGCTTCGTGGAGCAGGATAATTTCTGCATTATCACAGAATACTGTGAGGTGAGACTCTCCTCTCTTAGAAATACTTGTAAAAATCTGTTGCATGGTAAAAAAAATTATATAAAGAGATATCTTAGCAGTTTTATTATCAAACAGCAAGTTGAATTCTAAAAGCCTAGTGTCTCATGTCTTGTGGCTAAGAATAATCTACTCTAAGTAACTGACAAATGTTGTGGAATAGAATAATTGTTTAACTATATAAAGGTGTGTTGATTTTGTTTATGTCACATTTGTTTAGCTATGTAAAGATGCGTAGCTGTTTCACCTTGCCTGCCTACGGCACCTGACAGGTCTAATTAGTCTCATAAAAAGCTGAATGGCCAATAGTTAGACAGAGGAGGGATAGGTGGTACTGGTGGGCAGAAAGAGAAGGGAGCCAGCCAACCAGTGGCCAGCCAGCTAGGGTCGAGACAGACAAACACGGAGGAAGCAGGGATGCAGAATAAACAGTTCAAAATGAGGTAATCGAGCCTTGGGGCAGGACACAGGTTCATAGAAATGGGTTAATTTAAGTTAAAAAAAATCTAGCTAGAAATACCTAAGCTAAGGTGAAGCATTCGATATTAATAATAATTCTCTGTGTCATGATTGGGGAGTGCTTTTACATATATGGGGGGCAGGTTGCCCAAACCTCCTATGATAGTATCATGAATGCTTAGCTGGACATCTAGACTCTTAACCAAGGCTTGGATACAGTGGAGGCATAGCTCACAGTTTGATTTCCAGTTCTGTTGTTTGATATGTGAAGATCTGACTTACATCTCATTTCTCCTAGAGAAGTCTTTCCTATTTGTTGACTTGTGAACTGTGGCATAGCATTTGCAGTTTTCTCCGCTGCTCTCTGTTCTCTTAAGTACATCTTTGTGCTTTACTGAGTCTGAAACAAACGTGAAGTTTAGAAAGATGAGAGAGGAGAAGACGGCAATATGAATTGTGGATCTTTGTGTTTACAACTCAGAGGTTAGGCGTAGGGTGGGTGACTGGGGTTGTGTCAAGCAGAGCATAAAAGAAGATGCCATGCTTAAAATTATGCTCAGGTGCTCTTTGAGCTAGGCTAGCCAAATACTTCTTAGGAGGATTTGAAACCGTGGAAAATGGAATTAGTCAGCTCATCACTTGGGTAGCCCTAGAGAAATTATGTTGGGAAGAAAGAAGTGTCTTTTTGGAACAGAAGACAAGCAGGCTTGGCTCTGAGAATTTGGACAAGCAGATGGAAGCTGAGGGTGCCCTGTGTTTGAGCGGCAGAAGGAAGAGTAGAGACTGTACCCAAACCACCATGCTGCTTCCCCATTTGCTGGTGCAACCACTAAGATACCAGTTGTCACATTCCTCTGAATGAACCTGGAGTAATCTAAACCTTGGCCTTTCACTTTAAATTACTCTCCTGGTTTGCTCCTTCTCTGCTTTGAGGACGGAGGGAGGGAGAGGCAGAAATATAGACAGACAGACAGACAGACAGACACACACACACACACACACACACACACACAGGGGTGGTAGTGATGAACACCAGTTACTTAGATATGTAACTTCTTTACCTAATGGGTTGTTAAAAAAAATCAGTAAGATGAAGAGGAGTATAGGGTGGTAGCAGTGAACTATTGAATAGCCGCTCTGGAAAATGTGTTTCTAATGTAGCTCTCTTATAATCTACCTGTTATTATTTAAGACTTTTTCTTCTTTAGCTCCTTTAGTTGCTAAACTTTCAGAAAAAACAATTGGCTATTAGTACATAAGATGATGATCTTTCCCCACTGCTGATTTTGGCACATTCATTTGTTTGTAAGATGTTATATTGTCTCTGTAATTCAGGCTCTTCCTAAATTCACTCTGTCGTCATAGCTGGCCTTGAACTTCTGATCCCCCTGCTTCCATCTCCCAAGAAATGAGATTGTAGGTGTTGGTCACCACACCTAGGGGCACACGAACTTTTTCTAAAGACACTTCTCCTCCTCTTAAAACACCTTTGACTGAAGTCAGCAGTGTTCCGTAGAAGGCTCTGGGAAACTGAAGTGGCCTGTGCTTGTGCCTTCTGCCACGGTCACCTCTAGTCACGTTGGCTTTTTGTCTTTGAAATTAAGGAATTTGATGTAAGCAAAATTTATGTTTAATTTTAATTAACTTAAAATGAATTGGCCTGTGCAGCTAGTGGCTGCCGTGGGTGATAGATGACATGGTCTAACTTTCTTTTCCCATACTAATTTTGATTTTTTTTTCTAAAATTGACTGTAATTTTGAGCTTTCAGACAGGTTGTGAGACTATTTGCATCTCCCACATCTCCTTTCCTCAGACTTCCCAGTTTTCTTGTTTGCTTCCCATGTTTGCATCATTATTTCTTTTGTCCATGTATACACACTCTACCTAACTCTTTCCTGAACTACTTGAGAATAAACATGTTGTAGTTTGCATCTTGAACTGCTTGCACATCTCCCAGAAACCCATGTAATATAGAGGCTTAGCTGCCAGCATCTTTATTGGAAAGTGACAGAAACTCTAGAAAGTGGGACCTTAGGAGAAGGTGAGGCCATTGGCATCATTCCTTTCAAGATGGTGTCAGAATGCAAGCCTCCTTCTCACTCTTTTCCCCCCAGCTGCTAGGACATGAGTAGCTTCTCTCGGCCACATGCGTCCCACTATAATAACCTGTCTCATTGGCCCCCACAGCAATAGAGGTAACTGACTGCTGACTGGAACCTCCGAAACCAGGAGTTAAAATAAATCTTTCCTGCTTTTGAGTTGATTTTCTCAGGGATTTTGCGATAGCTGTCATAGCCACACGTTGGGGTTCAGCCTCGATGGGTTCGTATGTTCCAGGGTAGGGGAATGTGGACTAGAAATGTTAGGCAAGAGGAACAGAGATATAAAAGAAACACAGAGACATAGGATAGTACTGGGAGGGCAAGCAGGGAATACGTAATCCTGAATATGCCCGTATTTATTTTCCGTATGCTTATATACCAAAATCCAAAAATGGGGAAGGAGGCAAAAGACTGTTTTAATATGATACAAAGGACAAACAGAACATTTACTTGCTTCAATACTTGAGACATCAAGTCACTATTTTCTGAGTTAAGCCTTCTGATGTTTTAGGTAGGACATGTAGCTACTACACCTTAGATCAAGTATACTGTGGGCAGCCACTTCCTGGGTCAAACCTCCTTTCTTAAAAATGAAGGAACAGGAATAGGCTTGAATTCTCTGACCTTTGGTCAAGGTGGAGTGGCTCTCCCTCTACAGGCCATCTTAATATCCAAAACACCAAGTAAACACACCCTAGGTCAGGATATCTTGTTTGTAGCTACACCTTAAGTCAGAATTCTTGCCAATAACTTTGAAAGAGCAAGAGTAGGCTTAAGATTTCTGTCCTTCAGTCAAGGTGGAGTGGACCCACTTCTATGGGTTCCCCCACACAGCAACAGAAAGTTAATGAAGACTAAGTTCCAGCCCTAATCTTGTCCAAATAGCTACTGTATTTTCTTTTGTTTATTATAGACTTGTTTTTAATGTTGTGGTAAGTATAAAATATTATAAGACAGGAAATTTTAAATAATATCATTGCAATGAGTAACATTTTATTTTTACTTTTAATGGTCTCTGTGTGTGTATGTGTTGTTTGTGTATGTGTTGTGTGTGGATGTGTGTTGTGTGTGTGTGTGCAGCCCTATGCCCATTTGTGTGCCTGTGCCCACTGGCACCAGAAGAGGTTATCAGATGCCATGGAGCATACATTTCAGGTAGTTGTGGACCACCAGACTTGAATGATATACCTATGTTGCTTAAAGGCTAAAGCTTCATATTAGAATATCTAAGGCAAAGGACCTTCTCTTTCATAGCAACTGTTAAAGTCATAAGAACTCAAGAAATTAGCATTGAACCAATGTGAACATGTAAGTCACTGTAATTCTCAAGCAGAATCTCACATCTGCAGCACCAACCCCACTTAGTAACTTGGTGGAAATACAGAATCCTGGCCGGAAGCCCAGCTATACTGAATCAGACTTTGTGGGGGTGGGGTTCAACCATCTGTGCTTTGACAAGCTCACCAGGTGAGTCTGAAACAAACTGAAGTTTGAGAGCCACCCATCTAACTCACAATCTATATTCAAATTTGCTCATTTGTTCCAATTATGTCCTTAGAAAGGGCATTTCTCTAAAAATGGCTTTTGTTGTGCAGGATCCAATGCAGAATCATCTGTGTTAATTTTTAAATGATGGTTGGTTTCCATGGACCGAGCTGCTCTCCTGGGAAGGAATGTTGCCATGGTGATGGCTGCCAGCTGCACTACACAGCTGCTGGGCATCCAGGGGTCTATGGATCCTCTTCTCAGGCTCCTGAGAAATGATGTGTGCATGTTTCTTGTTAACAGAGATATTTCTCATCTTCAGATGCAAATTCACTCTTAGCTTGCTCAGGCCTGATGTTATCTTTTTCTTAATTGAGGTAAAGTTATTGATATAGGAAATGGCAGATAACTAAAACTAAACCTTGGCCTCATAAAAAAGGTTATCACCATTTCAGTAGCTGATCTCTCTATGTCCATGTTTCCTCTTGTGAAATTTAATTTGGGACCTTTCAAGTCTGTAATGTATTCATTCATCTCTGATATGTCTATATCTGCTGCTCAACCCACTGGGCACCTCAGATTATGTGTGTGAAAATACAAGCAGCCAGGGGCTGAGAAGATGACTAAATCAGTAAAGGGCCTGCTGCACAAGAATTGAGAACCATAGTTTAGATCCCCAGAACTCATGTAAAATCTGAATATGGTGGCATGTATCTATAACCTTAGCACAGGGGAGGTGTGGACAGGTGGATGCCCAGAGCTGGCCAGTGCAATCAGTGAGCTCCAGGCTCAGTGACACACTGTCTCAAAACATGAGGTGGAAGTGATAGAGGACAAATGCCTTGCACATACATATGTATACATACACACACACATGTACATACATACACAAGCACATATATACATTACATGTGCACTTAATAAATACATAAGCAAAACATCCATCAATTGGTATTGTTGTGGTGCTATAATCCCAGGATGAAGGATCAAAAACAGGAAGCTCACAGATTCAAGGCCAGTCTGAGCTGCAGAACCAGGTACTGCCTGATAGTTCCAAAGCCACCAAATCAGAAGAACTCTGGACCCTGGTGTCTTCTGTTCCCCTCCACACAAGAAGGAAATGGAGCTATGTGCCCTCTCCTTCCTGTTCTTCCTCCACAGTCTCATAGCTCTCGTCTTAGCCATTACTTTTCTAACACTTTGTCTTCTAGCCCCACATCTTCAGGTTCTATCCAGGTTTCTCTTCTCTCACAACCAGAGGCTTCCTTTCATAAGAAAGGCTCTCCTCTCACATGTATAGTGAGAATGCAAGGAGGAATAGGGGGAGTCATTGGCTGGAAGCCATTTGCACCCCCATATCTCTAACTGGTGAAGTATTTTTCTTTTGCATGAAACTCAGTGTAATTATATGAATCATCTCAGACTCCAACACATGAGAGTTGTTCTCATTCATTTTACAAATCACACCTTGGGTCTAGATATTGAACCACAAAGAAGTTAGCATAAAGCATTCAGACCTTTCTTCCTTCCTTCTTTTCTTCCTTCCTTCTTTCCTTCCTTCCTTCCTTCCTTTCTCTTCTTTTTCCTTCTTTTTTGGTTTGTTTTTCAGGACAGGGTTTCTCTGTGTAACAGTCCTGGCTGTCCTGGAACTTGCTTTACAGACCGGGTTGGTCTCAAACTCACAGAGATCCACCTGCCTCTGACTCCCGAGTGCTGGGATTAAAGTGTGATGGGGCCTGGGGATGCACCTTTGTGGTAAAGGGTTTGCCTAGTATTTGAGAGGTTCTGGGTTTACTGGTGATAGAGGGTTTGAAGAGAGAGGTAGCAGAGTATCAGTCAGTATCACCACAGGAAACACAATTCTGCTCATTCTCAAAGAAGACAGTGCAGACACCATGAGTATACAGAGCTTCATATTCAATTGACATGGTTTTATAACGACAATATTTAGACAGATTTTTCTTTGGGCTGCCAATCCACAAAAAGCAAGGTAGAGACTTATTACTAATTATGGAAGCTCAGTCTTAGTTTAGGCTTGTCCCTAACTAGTTCTTATAACCTATATTAACCTATACCTTTTACATGGTTTGGTTACCTTTACATCCTGATTCTTCTCTGTGTGGAGACTGCTTTCTTTTTCCCTGAGACCTCTCTCTCCCTAGAAGTCCCAACTAATCTTTTCATGTCTAGCTACTGGCCAGTCATCTCTTTATTAAACCAGTCACAGTAACACATCTTCACACAGTGTAAAGGAATATTCTGCATCAACAATAGGAACTTGTAGTTTGAGAATAAATTCCTAAAAGGAATGCTATTTTAATTCACAGATGAAGTTTTGAAATCTCAGTATTATTATAAGTGAGATAGATAATTATATATTTGAAAATTAAATTTATGATGACAGCTATACTTATGATTGTCCTAAAGTGCTAAATATTGGAAAGATATAAGAAACTAGAAGGCAGTTTCAATGATATTTCTTGTGTGTGTGTGTATGTGTGTGTGTAGTGTGCATGCCTGTGTTTGCAGTGTGCATGTCTCTGTGTCCCTACCACTCCAGCACTGGAGCTGTGATTACTTATCACCATCCCCTGCTTCTTCATGTGCATTTTGGGAATCAAACTCGTGGCCTCAGGATTTCACAGCAAACAATTTACCAACTGAACTCTCACTTTCACCCCTCATTTATATATTTTTAGGGTCCATCCATTTTTCCCTTGCTCCCTCCCTCCCCAGGAGGTGAAACACTGTTTTCTGACATTAGAAATGTTTACTATGGTCAGAGTTTGAGTTGCTGGATGGGAATATAAAACTGTATATAATAGAGACCGTGTAGTAGACATGGGTTGCCTTTTGTCTGAAGGACTTTCTCATCCACTCTTTAGGAAGCCACAACGATCCACTGTCAAAAATATTATTACTGCACAACTTGTGTGCTGACCCAGAACTCTGAGGCTTGCCATGGTTGGAAAGTGAGTGCTGGCGAAGGACATGGGAACTGGGCTCTCTCTCTTTTTATTGCCAAGAGTTAAATATTAATTCACTTCAGTTTTTAATTCCAAGAAGCTTTGATCCCCTTGGCCTAGAAAATCCAGCAAGGAAGACGATTTCATCAAGCCTGCTTGTGAATGTGGGATATGCTTTTGACTTCTTATTTCTTGATTTGGAAAGAGAAAATGCTAAGCAAATATTTACACATTGCACTGAAAGGAAATTAAACACTGCATTACAAGCAGTTTGTCAGTTGACCACATGTTGTTTGATTACAAGTAATCTCTCCCAGTTGCCTCATTGGCTAGAAATACCTTTGCTCTGCTGCTGAGGAGGACTTCATTTTCCTCTTACTGTTTGCACGCTCCATGGACCTGTGCCTCTCATCCCACAAAGAACATTTTTCCTTGCCTTTTCTTCCAAGGACATATATCAAACAAGTTTTAATCTTTCAGTGTTTTAATATAAAACTTTTGAGGTGTATGGTTTCTCTAAGAGAATCTAACACTTTATGTTTTGTTTTCTATGGCAATTAAAATATATTAAGACATGTAATCATCAGAGTCACATCAGACACTGCCAGGCAGATCGAGGCATTCATGATTGTCAGTGTCTGGTCTTAATTTTAATAACTGTTATTTCATCAACACTTGAATGACCGAATGCTTCACTGTTGTGTGGAGAGCTGTGCGCTCACTACCAGCCCTTGTATTCCTGAGGGGTGTGCTGGGATTTAATAGAGAAGGGGAAACTCACTCACTCCAAGACACTGTCTGTCTGTCCATGCCAGAGTCAAAATAATCTGGGGCTGCAAGTTGGCTCAGTGAGGAAAAGCACTTACGCCACATATCTGATGGCCAAAAAGAATCTTCTCTTGAAATTGTCCTCTGACCTCCAGCTGTACCACACATACACCTCACTTATACACACATTAACAATACAACAAAATAAGTTAAAATTCTAAAGTGTCTCCCATGACAGCCAGCACTGGTGCCCCATGCCAATACCAATTTCGTTTCTTGCAAACATCACTGTAATTCAATTAATATCTCTGATTTAAATTTTACTGTCTTCCATTTTTAACTTTCCCTCATGTTAGGGTTCTGTATGCAAAATTAGGGTACTAGGAACGCTATTTCTAGTCTTATATGAACACAGATTAAGGGGATGTCATATGGATGTTACACCTGATACTATTTCTCTGTTATATGGTTTGTTTTTTCCTTGTTTGATGGCAAAGATAAAACCCGGTTAGATGGACATGAACTGGAGGAGTGATGGCAGATTTTGCTTGTTGACTGCTGACAATAGGAATAGGAGCTCTGTTTGGATTTCTGTGGGAGTAACGATGTTTTTAGGAGGACGGATCTCCTGGTTGATAGGAAGGTGGGGTCAGATGGCTTCTGAGATGTGCAAAGTGTTCAGTTTTCAGTTCCCCAGAGTGGCTGGCCCCTCCTAAGTCATCCATCTTGGTGTCTCCTTAGGTGACTTCTTCTTGGGCCTGCCTACCTTACATTGTTCACAGAACTTGATATTAAATTTTTATCTATAACAGTATGAAAGATTATGTTATTTTGTTTCAGGGCCGAGATCTGGACTATAAAATTCAGGAATACAAAGAAGCTGGGAAAATCTTTCCTGAAAATCAGATTGTGGAATGGTTTATCCAGTTGTTGCTTGGAGTTGATTATATGCACGAGAGGTATGCTGACTTGCTTCTGGGCACAGGTATAGTTTTTAATGCTCGTGTCTGAACTTGAAAGGTGAATATTTTTCATTGATTTGAAAGCAAACAGGTTCAGAAGATGAATCACCACAGTCAAACATCTGTAGTATTTTATAATATGACATTTTTTTCTTGAGGAAACTGTTGATTAATTATTTACTCACATAATATTTATTTATATCAGTTGTGTGTATGTGAGTGCAGGTGTGTGCAGGTGTGTGCAGGTGTGTGCAGATGTGTGCATGCCACAGCTTGGGTGTGGAGGACAGCCTTTGGTAAGTCCTTACCTTTCCCCTTGTCTGCAATTGGATAGCTCATTTTCTCTGCTGAATATTCCAGGCCTATTGGCCTCTGAGTATCTTCTATTACCTCCCATCCTGTCAGGAGGGCTCAGTTTACAGACAGGAGTTTCTATATTCAGCTTTTTTTATGTAGGTATTTGGGATTTGAACCCAGATCCTCGTGTTTGTACAGTCAGCACTTTGCGCACTGAGCCATATCTCCTGCTTCTCTCTCTCTCTCTCTCTCTCTCTCTCTCCTTCTTCTTCTTCCTCTTCCTCTTCCTCCTCCCCTCCCCCTCTTCTTCCCCTCCCCCTTCTTCCCCTTCTTCCCCTTCTTCCCCTTCTTCCCCTTCTTCCCCTTCTTCCCCTTCTTCCCCTTCTTCTTCTTCTTCTTCTTCTTCTTCTTCTTCTTCTTCTTCTTCTTCTTCTTCTTCTTCTTCTTCTCTAGAAACCAAGTTGATCCTCACTGTAGCAGAAACTGTATTGAGTATGGTGGGTGCCTTATCTAACCATCTTTTGGGAACTAGAGATGATACTCAGGCATCATTAGCAGGTCATGGCAGATAAATAGTCAGTTTTGCTATAAAATGTCAAGCAACAGTCAAAGTGTATCCTTCAAGTTTCAGTTATCTGCCAGCCTTATTTATGGAATTTGCCTCAACAATACATTTTAAAACATTGTATGATCTTTTGAGATGTGAAGGTTTTAAATCTTTTTAGACTCAACAAATAGTACCGATGAATTTGTAAGAATAGAGTCTTGCAAAGTGGGTGGTCATGGCATGCTCGCTGTGGGAGTGAGCAGAACACCCAGGAACAGCCATCTTGAGTGATAGCGATAATCGTAGGGCACAGCAAGGCTTGGTGGTCCAGGGATGTCATTGCTTACGTGTGCTATCTGTGGTCTGATAGTGCAAAAAGTAATCAGATTCCCCTGCAACTGGCCTTGTATCTGCTGAAACACACACTTGGTAGCACAGATGTGACTAATTCAGCTTGATTCCCAGCCGTCTCTGTCCTGAGATGACGATGAAATATCACATAATGTTTAGTAAGCGGTCTGAAGCTGCTGACTCGCAGCTGCTGAGCATGTACACTCGCATTGCTAGCATCTTCCCTCCTCCCTGTCTCTCTCCTTCCTCCCTCCTTCTCTCCTTCCTGTATTTCCTGTCCCACTGCTTGTTAGCATATTGTTGGCTTATTACATAAAGGATGTAATTATAAAACAATACCATCAACGATGCCCACTGTGGGGCTGTTTGGTATGCAAATAGACAATTGGAATCTGGTTGACTTGATTTATTTTTTATTCTTGTTTTTCTATTTTGTTATTTTAGTTTTATTATACAGGGTTACATAAGGCTATTCCCATGTCAGTATAAAATATGCTCCGAGCACATTCCCCCAATGTTTTTTATGTTCTTAAGATTATTTAGTGATAGTTAAGAATAAATGAACTTAAAAACAACCTCCAAAGAGAGGATTGCCATTTTTCATCTGTCACTATTTATAGAGTTGTTTAACAGGGCTACATATATGGATGTTACTGAATCTATGGATCTGAAATTTTATTTTTTGTGATTCAGATGAAAAATGATGGTCTCACTAAATCATTATATTGTATCCAATCATTATAAGCTTCCTATGTATATGCAATGCTAATTTTATGTTTTAATTCACTTTATTCATGTAATAGCACTAAACTAAAGTAAGTCCTAAGCTCAGAGTACAGTTAACTGTGAGTGATAAAAACTTAGGATGCCATAGCTGAAAGGCAGGTGGCTATACAGAGTCACTGTCTTCACTGAATGATAGACCATGACAAGCTGCTTGATGTCTCTGAGCCTTGTTTCTTCATCTGTAAGACAGTAACAAGGAAGGGACTGTCACTGCTTGTTTCGCAGGGCATGCACACTGGAAACTAATGAGCACAAGAAGCTTTTGTGACATTATCGTCTGTGGTAATAATTAAATATAGGTGCAGACAGGGTTTTTAAAATGTAACAATCACGTATGTTGGCAAGGATGCAGAGCAACTTGACATTTGTCACATTGTTGGTGGGGTGTCCACTGGTAGAAATGCTTTGGGGAAATGTGTGATGGTGTTTGCTAGACTAAGCATACAAATAGGGGTTCTAGTCCTTGGGGGGTCAATGATGAGTTGAATATAGACCAAAAGAATCATAGTGAATATACAGTAGACAGACCTGTACTCATGCTCTTTCTGATGCCGACACATGATCAAGTTGTGCAATCATCAAAGATACCCATCATTGGGGTGGATGGGTAAAGAAAACTTAGTATCTATATACACGGTGGGGCTTACTCAGGCATAGTGAAGAACCATGTGTCATTTGCAGGAAACTGGATGGAATCAGAGATAATCAAATCAGGTGACACCAGACTTAGAGAAATGCCAGGTGTTTTCTCCCACATGTAGAATCTAAATTTTTATAAAAGGACATGAAAGTAGGAGGAGCCTATTGAGGAGATCAGGGGGAGGGGAAGGGATAAGAATGATCAAAGTCTACAAGATGCAGGTGTGGAAATGTCATAACAAAATGCATTCTTTTGTATAAATGATATGGACTGACACAAATATCAAAAGAGGAGAGATGAGGCCTGATCATATAGATAAAAATGACTGTAGATGTCTTTTTTTGTAATGACTAATGCACTCTTAAATCTTTGTCTACAATGGAATGATTAAATAAACTGTATCATAATATAGTGGAATATTAGCCTATAATAAAAATAACACATCAGCAATAATGTATGATCTGAATGACTCTCCAATATACAGTGTAGGATGAAAGAAGATGGATGTAGGTGGGTGCACACTATTGTGTGATTGTTCAAATCTAAGTTCAAACTAAGATGCATTCAACTGATAGTGAGTCACAATAGAGAGTGCCCTTGGGAATGTACTGTAAGTGACTCAAAGAAAGGATGTGTGATATTGAAATTGTTCTGTATGGAGATTAGGGTTGAGGACTACCTGGGTGATATATACAAATATATTAAGCTCAGGATTTATGCACTTCAGGGTATGTTACAGCAAATGATAAGACTGTCAAGAAAAGTAGATGTATATTCTATAGGAGATCAGAAGAGGTATTTCATTTGGTATGCTCAAGAAGGCTTCTTGAGAGAAATGGTGTTTGATTTGCCCAAGGGTAGGCTTTGAGTGTGGTGAAAGATGGCCCAGGGGCTTTCCTGGTTTAAGGAACAGTGAGAAGAGACACAGAGGTTGGAAAACAATCCAGGTCGAGTAAATGGCAAGTGGTTCTGTTGGGAAGGCTCTTGAGGTGAGGGTTTGGATGGAGATATGGGCAGAGAGAAGTTGGGGCCAAGAGGGGCCTTATATAGCTTGGACAGTGGATATAGTTAAGAGGCTTAGTGATGCTGTATGGCCAGAGCTTGCTTCAGTGAGATCAGATGATAACTTGTGGAAGAGAGGTGGGGTGTGGGACACAGAGAGTGAGAGACAGAGACAGACAGAGAGACAGATACACAGAAAAGGAGATAGAGAGCTGAGCTATGAATAATAAACATCTTATATTTTCCATATGTGAGGTTATTGTAACATGAGGTGCTGGCTATGAGACCTGAGGCAAAGGGGAAGCAGTAGAGATTTAGGGAGGATTATAATGAGCTTGGTGAGCTGCAATGACTGAACTTGAAGTAGGTATTTTAACCTATGACAGAAAGGGCAAAGATAAGGGTTAGAGTGGTTGGACCTACTCATCTTTCATTCTGGAGGGTCCCCAGAACTGGAGGTGGTTATCAAAGATGAAATTGAGGTCTGGGGTCTAGGAAGGTGAGAGCGAAAACAGGTTGGGCACAGTTGTGCTGAGATTGCGACCGTTGCAGGTAAAATATGGAGAGTGGAGGGGTGAGAGAAGGGAGTTTCAAGTGAGTCTTGGGGAAGCACCAGCGCTTGTATTTGTTTTGATTCCTATACTATTAAAGTCCTGAAACCAATACTATGGTATAGTTTGCTTAGAAAATGCATTGGTTTGAATGAGAATGACCCTCACAGCCTTATATATTTGAATGCTTGGTTCCCAATTGGTGGAATTGTTTGAGAAGGATTGTTGGGTGTGTCTTTATTGGAGGAGTTTGTGGGAGTGAGCTCTGAGGTTTCAAAAGCCCACACTATTCCCAGTTAACTCTCTCTGCCTCATAACTGTGTTTTAAGATGTGAGTTCTCAACTACTGATCCAGCACCATCCTCGCCTGTCTGCTTCCATGCTCCCCCATTATGATGGTCATGGACTCTAACCCCATGGAACCGTGATTCCCAATTAAATGCTTTCTTTTATAAGTTGTCTTGGTCATGGTATCTTACCACAGCAATAGGAAAGTCACTCTGACAGGAGGTGAGCTCAGGAAGCAGAAACCAATGTGTAGGGAGAAAAGAGAGGGAAGAGAAGAGCATCTAGTGCACACCTGAGCTGCTGGGGCCATTGTTGAATGGACACAGAAGCACCAGGGCATGGCTGAGCTGCTGGGGTGGGTGGTCAGAGGGGCACAGTGGCACCAGTGCACAGCTGAGCTGCTGGGCAGGGCAGTCAGAACAACATAGAGGCAGGACTCTTTCCTGCTTGGTTTAGGTTTTGGATTCCTCTTTGTGCATTTTTTCCAAGAAATTGTTCACAAATTCTTGACTACGTATAGCTCTTATTTTATAAC